AATTATCAGAGAGTGCTTTAATCCAAGTATCACGGAGGGTGGCCTTTGTGCACTTTACTGTGGAAGCACTTGAACAGGGGTGTCCATGTTTTTAATGAATTGGATTAGTTGATGGCCCTTTTGAAAAAGCAGCACAAGTTCCGCGACATGTTCATATCTATTCAAAATTAATTAGCTTAGTGTGAACTGTTTCCACATCATGGAAAATCTTAACTAAAATTGAGTTTTTTTTTTTTTTATGACACATTTATATATTTTAAGCTGCAGCGACTTTGAAAGGAGAGGAAACCTGAAGCAGATCGGATGTAAATGACAACTTCACTCCTAAGTAGCTCCTCGGTCAGCCTACTATCCAGAGAGGAGAGGGTTGAGAGCACTAATATTGTTTCTAAACACCGAACTCACTGAACTCTGAATCTCAACAGGGTGTTTTAACAGCCATTACATCAGGGAGATGGGGCACAACACAAATCTTGCTCCCATTTATGGAAAATATCACACGCTCCATTTAAGTGTGGCTGTGTAAGTGGAGCTGCTGTTGTATTTCCAGTGGCCACTGAATAGTAGAGTTTGAAAAGATGCTTTCAGTGGAGCAGTTGCAATATATGTCATTTTGCTGCACAATGCTAATCATCACGGCTGCAAACAATTTGCTCAGAATCTAGTCATAAATGCGAGTATCCAATGAGACAATAGATGTCTATTGTCTGCAGATGGAAAGGAAGGGAAGTCATCGTAAATAACAATAGATATATAATTCACACCAAAATACACCAAATTTGGTTTTGTGCAGCTTTGTGTCGAGTTTATATTCTTGAAATATAATCATCCCCAAGAATACATTACTAAGTATATGGCTATCAGCAGCAAACAAGAGCAATTACAGAGAGCATTTTGCCTGTTGGAACGTATGTGTCCATCACACAATCATGTAAAAGAGGGATCTCTACGTTTAAGTCTGCTTGGCAACAGGGGCACCAGCAAAGGCATTGATTATTCCCTCTGCTGTGAATACAAATGTCTCCTCCAGGGTGTTGGAGAGGAGCCTTAGTAAGCACAATAACCCCCCCCCCCCCCACAACCCTTGACCCATAACCTCGTCCACCATCAATGCCTTTTTTAATGATGCATCCTCCAAGGGACTCCGAGTGGTTTATAGCAGCAGGTTATTTCAGGCCTGACAATGATTAGGAGTTTGCATCTAATTAATGTAAATGCTTTGCAATATAATTTTATTGAAAGTTGAAGGTGAGTGAGTTCAAGAGATCATCAAAATGCGAGAAGTGGTCAAGCCTTTTTTGAAAAATATATGGATGCATTTGCGTGTGGGTTGAATAGGGGGTTAAAAACGTGGATGAACAGGACTCTCGCTCTTCTTTGTGGATATCTTTATTTTTTCTACACAGGCATAAAATGTGCGATTGCTCCCTCAGGCCACCTTTGCAGAAATTCCCCAAAGACTTCTTTTTCACAGCACTGTGAAGCAGATCAGAATAAGCTGAATCCTTTAAAGGTGAATGAACCCTACAGGCTAACGTGAAAGCATTTCAAACAGGCCTCTGACAACTACTGTGCAGTGACATTTCACTCAAACAATTCAGTCAAATACTAAAATGGTTGTCATCATAATTGGTCATTCTTTTTTTAATGGCTGTGTTTAGTTAGAATGAGTCGTGGAAATATAGCTAATCATAAGCACAATCACAGATTTTTCTCTGGCGGTTCCAGGCTACGTCTACATATTAATAATATGGTTTTGGCAGCTTTGTGGCCAGTATCGTTGATGGGATAAATACATGCTAACCTATTTCGTATGAATTCTGGATTAGTGTATACAATAATTATGTTAATGTGTCCAACATCATGAGATTTTGAGCAATGTGATCAACAATTCCCCTAATTTGATTTCAGAAATGAGCCACTGTCCCTCTAATGAAGGTAAAGTAGAGGGTAACACACAGGTTTACTGCCTGCACGTGTGTTTATATATTTTAGCATGTACTGTTGAAACCCTGGATAAAATCATATATATTCGAATGAGTTTAGTTGAAGCAGCATGACGTGTCTGGTGCCTAAAACATGAGCCTCTTTTGATTATTGGTCACCCAGAAGCCTGCACACCGTTAAGCTGTTCCCACTGTGAGAGCAATAAATGACAAAGATTTGGAGCATGCACACAGCTGCAAATAACAAAACCTCATCTTTTTGGGCAACGTGAAAATCATTTGCTACAGTGCTTCAGATGTCATACTCATTTTGAAACAAGTAAAATGAATATTAGTTGATAATATTATGGAGCTGTGTTGAATGCCTGTGCCACAGTGACTAGGACAATTAAACAATAGGTGGCACAGACCCTGCTCTAAGGGAGTGCAGGGCTGAAACTGTAAAAGACGGGCCTTATGACTTTTCAACAATTGCTGCTGCTGTTCTTCCTCCTTATCTAATTCAAAAGACATCTACCAAGGACAACATAGACTTATGAACAACCGCCACACTACCCCTGCCAATCAAACAGCTACTACAGGCCTTTTACAAACACGCCATCCAGCCTCGGGCACTGACGTATCAAGGCAGTGGCATCACGTAGAATGGCAGTCGGGTCTTATGAAAACAACTTAATTGCCGTCCCGCGTGGAAACTCTCAGCACTGTGTCATCGTAGCATTATGTAGGCATCATGGCCTCGCAACTGGGAGCTAATAAACACCTTGTCATTGCAGTAGGTGTCAGCTTTACACCCTGGATGACTGTCTCCAAGAGACATGCTAACACGTCATAAGACAGCATTGGCCTGCTCACTAAGACTATTGGTCATTTAGTGTGTGATCAGTCATCGTGCAGCAGCGTCATTGTTCACACCATCGCCGCCCACTCTGTCTCGGTTGCTCCTCTGCCCCTGTCACGCCGACAAAACTGAGGCTGATTTCTTTCATGAATAATTTAAAGGACGCACGAAACGCGTATTGTTGTCTCGTTGGTGTGCTTCTCCATTCTTCTGATATGTGATTAAATTACCAACATGCCAAGATGTGATCATTCCATAAATTCCCTGATATATAATGCTGTTATCAGGAGCAGGATTTTCCTGACATCTGATACTCTATTATATTGGCCACTATGTAGAGGTTTGACTTATTGCAAACATTGATCAACGTGTTGTAATTCAATACAGCATGTCAACAGCAGCATAATGTTGTGGGGGGAGAAGGGTGGTGGTGGTGCTCTTGGCTACATATGTCCTATAGCCTTCTGCAGGGCAAAGAGGTGATCCTATTGGCAGCTCATGGATGGTCAAGGTCAGCGGCCGCATATTTGCTTAATGAACGCGGCCAGAGGAGTCTGGACAGAGCGTATCGCGCTCTTCAGCAGCCTGCTTTCCCAAGACGGAAACGATTGAGTCTGCAGCATCCCATTCATCAACTGGATCAACCTGGAAAAAGCAGGATTTCAATCCTGGGAGTGAAATGAATTAAACGCGCCTTCAAGAATGTTGTGACACCTTGGTGAACTATATGGAGAAAGATTCCATGTGATAATATCACTCTAAAATCACTACTGATATCAAAATCACACTTAGAGAGGAAATGGAAAAGGTATTGTTTGGTAGAAAGAGCACACAACACTGAGGGAAAACACAAAACAAAGGATAGGCGATAATGCCCCTATAAACCCCCCCCTCGTGCCACACCCTTGCCCCTGTATCTGCGTGACATCTCAGAGTGTATCAGCCATCTATCATCTTGGATTGTGGGTGCAGATAGGGCTGGAGAGGCTGTTCTGCTGCTGCTGCTCCAACTACAGGAGGCTGCTCCTGCTGTATCTGGCTGTCCGCTCCCTCCGGCTATTTATAACCAATACAGCTACAGCACTTTATGAATGTCCGCAGGCACAGCATCACAGAGTCTTCTGATACTCTGCCGCAACTGTGTTTTTGGTGTGTCATTATAAGAGCCAGTGCTGGACAATATGGGGCGAGAAAAAGGAAAAAAAAGAAGAAGAAATTATCAGGGGAGGGTACTGTCATATTCTGTGCAAATGCCGCCTTGAATAACAAACAACAGACGGTGTGTGGCACCCACCAACACACACATTTCACCCTGTGTCCTGTGTAGTGTCAGTGTGGGATCCCATGACTACTGCCTTGTTGAAAACAAGAATCCCCAAGTCGTTTTGTGAGGAATCAATAAAAATGCACAACTCCTTTGCAGCAGAAGCCCTGGCTAGCTTTTTTTTTGTTTTGTTTTATGCACATACACAGCCCATTTAGCAGATAGCCATCTTTTGAAGATGAATAAAATGGCATGCGGGGAGGACCTGCCTCACACTTCCACACAATGAGGAATGGTATCTCAGCCCAGTGCGCCTACGTGGCCAAATAAAGGCTAGATTAAGATAACATTTTTCAATTCAACCCCCCTCCACCTCCAACACACACACACACACATTTGGGACAATTAAATTTGATTAATGGCTTAAGCCTTCATCCTCTCAGACAGGCACACACACACACACACACACACACACACACACACAGACAGACACACACATGAATGACCAGAGAAGATGATTGTATAGTCTGAAGGTTCATCGATAACAAATCTATAAATTAATTTGGAGAATCTGCGAGGATGAGATGCGTTTTTTACCTGCAGAGGACGCGCCTAACCACACTCAAAGAACCCGCTCTTGCTTTCCTGCCCTGACAACCAATACTGCCAGATGATCACCGCGGACTTACAGGAATATTTGATCCAATTTGACATCGGGATGTGTCCCGTGTTTATATTTGCTGGAGTAAAGTCTCTGTTGTTAAGTGGCACATTATGAAGTCACACATTTGAGGGATGTTTTTCTTCCAAGTAGCGCGGAGAGATCATGTTTTAGCTGCATTCCATCAAAAAGCTTGGCCCACATTAAACTGCGGCTACATTACGCACGAACACCGTGGGACAAATAAAAGAAAGACCCATCTTTGTGCCATCTGAATCAGACACTCACCTGCTGTAGCCTTCACTGCTTCCAAGCATCCTTTCGCATTTCTTCCCGACGGCAACTCCCAGCCACCAAGACGCAAATTGAGACGCACTATCTCAAGTCCATCGCCTTGAAAGACAGCTCTCGAAAAAGGGGGGAAACGACGCAGCCAGTTGTTTCTATGCAGATTCCCAACGATTTCAAAAGGTCGTGTTACGGTGACAGCTGTGGTTTAAACAGGCAAACCATCAAAGCAAACACACACGGACACACGCACGCACACGCAAAGCGCGATGCTCCTTCGGTGGGTAATGGGACTCCCTGTGCGCCCCGGACTCGTCCGAGGATGAGAGTAAAGAGCCGGAGAATAAAGACGGAATGCAAATGGCAGGTGGAGAGAGAACAACTCCCACGCACCCGCTCCCCGATGCAAGCGCACAGCTCTTGATGCAGTCTCTCGATCCACAGCCTCACGCTCTCTCTCAGCACTGAGGCAGGAGGAAGAGGCGCACACAATCCGCCTGCTGGAGGGAGGGACGGAGATGATCGGCGGAACGCACTCTGCCCGGTGTCCTACTCAGCTGTGTGTGTGTGTGTGTGTGTGCGCGCAGTTCTGTGCCTGTATGAGTCCGATCACCATACGCAAGCAGTCTGCTCATTTGCGGGCGTGTGTGTTTAGATTCTGCGCGTTTTGAGAAGCAGCCTTATCTGTCCAGATTTGTCTGCCAAGATCCCAGCCTCCCCTCCCGAGCACACGCGTTTACGCGCACGCAGACGCACGAAGACACCCACATATGACACGTCTACTGAGGGTGTAGGGAATAAATAAATGAAATAACTCACAGTACCACCACAACATGCACATGTTCAAATGTTTCACATGGAAGATGCTGGCAAACAGGAATGAAAATCAGATTTAAGGCTGGAGTGGAGACAGTGGTGAGGAGGCACCAGAAAGTAGCAGTTCCTCTTTTGAGGGCCTGATGGCACTGTGGGCTTCATATACTGCAGACACGCACACACACGCACGCACACACAGACACGGGGTACAGTTACAACACACAGTTTCTTCCAGGAGGCTGGTATCAGTGTATATGTTATCTGATACATATCTGATCCTTCCTCCATCCTCTGTGACTTCAAATTTTGTCTCAATCAGTCAGAGCTTAAAGCATAACTATTTCATTGCTGCACACTATTGTATTGTTGCATCTGTTATTGTGTCAACATCTTTAATGTGATGCCACAGTGAAATATGTGTGTTCTTCAGTATGATGAAGGGAACTCTGCTTCACCTGATCTCTTTAAATGATCCAGGATCAATTCACGATCAGCTTTAATGCATCTCAAGTCGATTTAAGCAGCCGAATGATAGTATTCATTTGCAATCGCTGCCCATGTTACACATTGATTATAAGGTTGTGATGGATTCCTTGTGGTGGTGGTGTTTGTCAACACTACAGCCTCTGCTGGACTGTGAGAGGCCTGGTTACTCATTAGTCTCCTGCATGTTGTGAGGGATGAGTGGAATTTGGTCTCAGTTGTTACACAAGAATTCAATGGAAGCTATAGATACCATTCTCTAAAGGCCAACATAATTAAATGCAAAACTATTTTATTTGTTGAATGTATTATTATTCATTAAGTCTGTAAAGTTGTAAAGATAAGTTCCATCAGGTTTTATCATTTCACACAATTTCACACACATACAACACTGTTAATGTTTAAAATCATCATGGATATTGTTATTATGTCCATGAACAGTCCCTAATGGCAAAAGAGTGCATACGTCCACCAAGGCCCAACAGTTCTCTTATGAAACCACATTTAACTTAGATCCAGATTTTTATTTGGATCTGCACCAAATTTCACATACTCTTAAATATGAGCACCTTTAACATGTCAGATTAAAAAAATAATAACAATAATTCCTGGATCCGGATCCAGACAAGTGCATTGTATCCTGGTAACTAACGAACGGACAAACAAACATCACTTCCTTGTTGGAGGTAAACAGAGATTTATAATGTTCCCAAAGGTAGCCAGAAAAACATAGAGCAGAGTGAAACAAAAGAACTTAAGAGCTTTGCGCTGAATCAACAGCTGCCTCTGGCTGTGTCTAAAACCATTTCCTTGTTTACCCATTCGCTCCTCCCTAACAGACACATAGTTTACTCTCCAGTGAGCAGTGAAGTGAGATTTCAGATCATCATCCACCAACTGTACACACTTACATTACATTTATTAGCATTTAATTAGAAATTTCATTTGTTCATATCAGGTGTAATATGCAGTGTATTGCATAGTATGATTGGTAAAAAAAAAAAAAAAAGTTATATTACATTCTGAGAACACTGAATGTTTGTGCTTTTGAGGCTAAATGAATGCAGGGACATGCGTGCATTCGATCTGAATGGATTAGTTACCTCTAACCTGTAATTAATTCAAAGTATTAGTAATTCAAATATGTAAGTTAACGTGAGCTGAATATGATGAAAGCTGGAGAAGGAATGGTACATTTGCCTCACCTCGTCTAACTCATCACGTGTATGTTTCCGTGAAGTTTTCCCTCTGAGCGCACAACAGAGGAAATGCCACAAAAGTATTTGTCTGGCAGTTTTAAAATGCGTCTCTGTCCTCCTCACATCCTCCAGCGTCTCAGAGACCCTCCGAGCAACTTAAACCACTCAGGCATCACAGCTACATGTGAATGTCATCAGCATCAGTTCACGCATGGCCAGGGCACCCTTGCCATGAGTACATGGTATTTTCTCTGTATTTTACAGCTGTTTTCTACTGGCTGGCTGTGAAACCACTCCTTCAGGGCGGGATGCAGGCTCTTTCTTTCCAGATCAGTTCACTCACACTGACCAGATCCAAACTCAGATACAAGGGTAACTCAACTGCTAGTTCAAGCTACTCACTTGACATTACATTTCTTTATGAACGCTTATGAATTCAATTTAAAATAATTGTTTACTGTTGCATGTCAACATGTTTGTCTATGTGCTTATGTGACACAATCATCAGCTCAATCCTTTTGATGTTTTAAACCCAATAACCATCCACGATCCATATGTGAGTAGCCCTCATTGAAATAGTGCAGCTGGTTGAAAAAACCCACAGAGAATGAGATTTAAAAAATAGCTTTGACAGGATGCACTTCATAGGGAGGGAGGAGAGAGGGAGGGGAAATTTCTGGTCTGTAGCGCTGCCTGCCTCGTCTCCATCCTCGCTGCCCCACTAAGAGCTGCAAACAACAACAGAGGTAACAATGGATACCTAGTGACGGCATGGGCTTTTAAAGCATCCCATCAATAATTAATTTGTTCTGCTGTGTTCCTCAATGCTGGCACGCACGCTTGTCCTTAATCTTTTGTTATACTGGATGTGAGGGGTGCCTGTCACACAGACACTATGAAATAAATGGCTCAACAATGAATAACCATTTTGTTATTGCGATCAAATCAGTGACCCTGTTGGGTGAATGCTTTTGCAATTCCCTGCAAAACTGTCATTCTAACTCTATTGATTGGGCTCGCTCTATAATAAGCACTACTCCTATGCTGATATTAATACACTGCCACATAATGACAGGACAGCGGCAGAGTTGGAATACAGACTAACTTTTCAACCAAAATTATGCAATGTGTCTGCGAGAAGAGCTCCTACTCCAGCTTAATTCATTGTCCTCCTTGTGCCAAATTAAAGGTCCAGTGTGTAAGATTTAGGTGAAAGGGATCTATTGGCAGAAATTTAATGTAGAATAATCCTCATGATGTTTTCACTAGTTCATTTCATCTAAATTGTATGAATTTTTACCCCAGAAAAGACCCTTTATATTCAAATTATATATATTTACATAGAGGGGACCCTCTCTAATGAGGCCGCCATGTTTTTGACATTAGTCCAGACTGGACAAACTAAACACCGTTTGAGTTTTTATGACAACTGAAGCTACCACAGGTTCTTTTTCATGTTTGGAAGGAGAGGGTGAGGTGAGGGGTGTTCAGCTGCAACATGCAATTTCAACACTAGATATCACTAAATTCTACACACTGAACCTTTAAATTCTGGTGTTCGGGGTGAAAGTTTGTTGCCCAAAGGAGGTGACAAAATGGAAATTTAAGAGTGAAATATATGTGAAGTGAAAGCAGAGTTCACCTGTGTACCCCTATATGATATCTTTTGGAATAAAACATGACGGATGGGGTCTTACCACGAATTGTATCTATTGTATGAGTGCAGGTATTCATGATATTTTTTCTGAGTGAAGTAAAAATCAATAAATCAAAAAAAGACCCAGAGAAACAACAGAAATACAGCCCAGAGAATGTATCGTATGCAGTAATGTATTCAAATCACAGTATCCACTAGAGCATCAACACTCTGCTCCACTCAATCGTACTGTAGTTTATGATATATCTAAAGCATGAATGCAGACATATTGCACACAAAAAATTAAGAGCAGAAGAAAAAGACCAGAGGAGAACGGAGGAGACGTTTCACATGCGCACAAATGAAGTGTGAGTATGAGGAGAAGAGCTGAAGCTGGAGAGCAAGCTGGGGATAATTGAGGTTTTGAGAAAGAGCAAGTCCTGCTCTCAAACTGAAAGACTGTGCTTTTGAATTAAGATGGGAATAAAACCCATATGTTGCCGGCAAATATTTTGTCAGTGAGGGAATTTCTTTCTGTGCAAGGTCCCTTATCAGAGAAGGTTAAAACTTTAGTGGAAAGTCTTTTTTTTTTGTTTCAGGTCCAAACAGCAGTTTGCACCATGCTGTGACAGCAGCCCGGCCAAAGCGCTGCAGTTTTACTCCCAGCACATGATTTGGATAGCTCTTGATAAGAGATGAAGTCAGCCAAACCCTCCCACTAAAACCAAACAAACACTAAATATGATCTATAGAAAGTAGACCCCCTCCCTTCAAGCCCTTTAACATCCGAACAAACTGTGTAGTTTTCTCTTTTAGATATTGTCCTGTTTTTTCAGCATGTGAAGCTAACAGGAAGAGAGTCTCCACTTTAAACAGTTAAGCACTACTACACAGATTAAATCACATGAACATATATTGAATGACATAATTTGTAGCTGTATGACAGGTGACTTATACGCTGTGATTTCAGGAACATGCAGAGCAGCACATTCAAGCAGCAGATCCACAGTCTCATGAATGTCATGTTGTCCTTTTTACAGCAGCACACACAGAAACCCGGAGACATTAGAGCCAAATAATTTACCATCCTGTTCTTAATTTATCCCAGTCAACAAGGACAGGACAGCCTCTGTTACTGCAGCAACAACTCAGACAGGAGGAGAAAAACCCAGATGTGACCGGCTAAATTTGGCCTGCAAGAGTCATGTCAATAGTATTTTTTTCAAGGTCTGTCGGTTTCAGAAATATTAATGCCCATGCATGTCA